ATCTTTAATCATGAGGGTTGACAGGTCCGGCATCGTCTCGATGGAGAGAGCGACCTAGGTGTATTTGGGCGGTACGACGCGCAGGTACTTGGAGATTGCCTCCTCATCATCGATGATGATGCTGTGCGCCGCTAGTTGGCCGATGAGGGACTACAGCAGGAGGGCAAAGCCCTCCACCGCCTCCCCGTCGCAGAACGTTAGGTCATCGTACTCCCACTACAGTTGTTGCGCCTTCGCCTTCTTTGTGCGGTCGAACCCGACCCGCATGGCCTTGAGGGCGTCCCAAGCTTCCTTGGCGTAGTCCTTCAACCCCAACAGTTCCTGTAACTCTAGAGGCACGGTGGCTAGGATTGCTTCCAGTGTCGAGAAGTCCTCCTCCTCATCCTCGGTGCCCTGGTCAACTGCCTTCCAGAGCCGTCGGGCTCTAAGCTTGACCATCATGGTCACCGACCACTCGCCATAGTTGGTGCGAGTGAGGACCGGCCAGTTGGCTCCGCCAACATCCTGCACGGCCCTCTAGATGACCACCTCGCGATGCACCGGCGACCGGGACTGCCGTGGTGACTTCTCGCCACCGCCCTGACTACCGTCGCCCTCCATCGTCGAAGGCGAACAGCCACCTCGGCTCTGATACCACTTGTTGGCCTAAGATCTCTCGCACGGATGAGCAATGCACTGACCGACACTCTCGCACACTCACACTGGGCTAGAGGTTGAAGAGGGAGTGAGAACAGCACACACACACACCGAACAAGCACCAACATTGGCCAAAACTCTGCTCGGGTGTTGTGAACCGAACTTCTAATGTCTATTGCTATTGCAACACCTCTGGTGTTACGATCTTGCTTAGATTAAGGCCTAAAAGAAATTAACAAAACAAGTTTTCGGGTGTTAAAAATTTTAAAACTCACGAGAAAGGATAATTAAATTGTAGATCTCATTTCTATGAGAAGAAAAGGGAATAGCATATTGCGAGTTAGTTCAATTAATGTGTAAACATGCCTATGAAATTCTAATAAGAAAAATAGGATAAATTATTTTAGATGTTCGACATGAAAAACGATTTCTGTAAATAAAAATGTGATATAGCTTATAATTAGAAAGTGCCATTTTTGAATAATTTTAATGTGCAAAATACTTAAAATAGTGCTTTAATATTTTGTTCCCACGAGTTAGTACGAAGTATGGACTAGGACATAACATGTTGTCTAGTTGAAATTGACAAAGTTTCGACCTTTTAAAAATTCAATCAAAGGTGTTTAGTTCAAGTGGGACTCCCATCCTTTCTAAGTCTGTAATGATAATCGACGATGCCATTTCGACATTTAAATTCCAACAAAAATGATTAAGCGATTTTTATATGTTGAAGCACTTTTGGTTGTCCCAAGGTGAGCATAGTGTAGGTTATAATCGCGTTAGTTGTTGCGATACTCTCGCATAAATTGTTCGAACTTCGCTAAGAACGCGCTGCGAATTTCAATCTGGTGCTCGTTCACGAACCAGTGTTCAGCGCCCGCTCTCAGTCGCTCATCTCACCTACCTCGCCCCTGTCCGACGCACGTGTTTATGAGGTGTGGACCGAGCCACTACTGTCCTCGCGCTCGCCCCCTCTGCGCTCTCTCCCGCGTGCTCTCCTTCCGTCTCCTTGCCTCTGCCGAGCCGAGAGCACACCATGGCCACCGCTCCCAGCCACCTTGCACAGAGCCACCTGGCCACCTTGGCCAACGCCGGGCCACGGCCGCCACCGCCCCGGCCCACGTCCTCCTCCTCGGCGGATCGCCACTGCAGAGCGCCATGGCCGCCGCCCCTGTGAGTGGCCAGTCCACTATTGGCTGCTCTCGGTAGGGCCGCTACCGACCACGCCTGTGGCTGAGACGGCCGTAGCTCCACGCCGCCTCCGTGCTGCTTGTCCGCTGCCGCCGTTGCGCCCCAGCCGACTGCCAGCGCTCGCGGCTGGACCACCTCGGGACACCTCCAGCGAGGCCGCAGCCACCCACCGGCGCGCCGTGGCCGCCCGCCGCTGCCCCCGCGTGTCCTCCGGCAGACCTTGCTGGGCCGCGCCACCACCGCCCAGCGGTCGCCCCATGTGCGTGCATGGCTAGGGTGCCTCGGGCTGCCCCTGGCCATGCCGCCAACGCCCACGGGAGCGACAGACACCCTCGCTGCCCCTTGTTGCCGGCCACCCACCATGCCGAATCGGCCGCCGGCCGATCCCCCTGCCCCTGCTCTGCTCGTGAGGAGGAAGAAGAAGGACAAGGGTGAGAATAGAAACTTTTCCATGGTTCCCAATGCAAATATGTGACTCATATGAATAGTGTCGAATAGTGTATGCTATACTGTGGGTTGATTAGGTAGAAGTGCAGGGGCTTTTCTGCCAAATGCGTGCCCCGCCTGGGCCTGGTGTCATGCCACCTTCTGGGGCCCTGGCCGCGTGGGCCACAACCGGCTATGGGTCGCTACAGCGCGTGCCCCTTGGGCCGCTGCCGCGCGTGCTCAGTGGGCCGCCGGACTCCGCTGGGCCACGTGCGCACATTTCGCGCTCGGCCGAGGCCGAGCCCAGTGCGGCCCTTTTTTCTTTTTCTTATTTGCAGAAACTTCATAAATCCGCCAAAAAGTGTAGAAAAATCATAAAAATGTCAAACCAATTTTGTTTAGTTTCTAAAATCTTGATCTATCTGATAGTGTATTTCGTTCGCATAGGTTATGTATGTTTTTAGGGTTGCTCTAATTATTTTAACATGCTTAATATTGTTAAGACAAACTTGTAGGAATTTCTTTGATAAATCGGTGATAGTGTTAGCTCTAAAATTTTTACAGTAGGTTAGAAGTGTTATTAGGTGTTCTCTATAATTTTTTTGTAGCTGTAGAGTAATTAAATTGCTAAGATAGCAAATGAGCCCTAGTTTGAATATATAGTAAATCAAATAAATGAAATAAAGAAACACCTTGGAATTGTATAACTAAAACACTTGTTGGGAAATGACACATTTCTCGACGATGTTGATACGTAGATTAGTACGTTAGTCATTAGAGCTAGCTTGTTAGTTCGTAGTATGTACTCTGCTTTAAGAGTTGTTGTTGCCTTGTTAATTAACTATTGCATCATCTCTGCATCGCATTGCATACCATAATAGGGACGTCGATGGATCGCGGAGTCATCGAGAGTTGCTGGTGAGATGGTACTTTTGGCGATCGTGTCGCCAAGATAGAATACTAACTTTTGGTTATATGTTACCCAGGTAAGCCTCGGTGCATAATCCCTATTATTCTGTACTTTGATTTATGCTTATGCATTAAGTTTTAAGGAGTTGAATGAAACGTACTTGCATATAGATATATATATATATATATATCCTATGAGTCTTACTAGTATGACAGGATCGTGTAGATTGCTATGCTACAGGACTCCGATAGAAGTCGAGTGATTGCCTATCACTCGCGAAAGATAGGAAAGATGTTATTATTGCTATTATATTATTATCACCTAGAAAATATATATGAATGATAATAGGAGACCGGGCAAAATGGTGCTTTGAATCTGGACTTGGTTTGGCATTCGAGCGAGGCTCGGGATGCACTTGTTCCGCCTGTGTCGGTTAAGGACCGACCGTTGCAATGGATGATAGTTAGGCCACAGACTTATTATCCTGAACACATACTTCTGTATGGGCGCGGAAAGGCTCATTGCTCTCTTGTCATGGGTTCTAGCTCTTTTCGAACCGACTGATTGGAGGCGGAGATGGTGGAGGTTCAAGGACAGCACTAAGTCTGGGACTTAGGAGCGGGGACTTGAAGTCCAAGTTTGGAGGGTAGTGGGTTGGTCTTGCTTGTGCCTAGGATACAAGCGGGGTGTGTATTTCAGGGTACCCAGCTGGGATACATTGGTTCATGAATCGCCGGGTGATCCGGTATGACTTGTCTACAGTCTAGCATCGTAGTAAGAACTGGAATATGAAATATGGTAAAATGGTTCTGATTGCTTACCATCTGCTTGAAGGTAGCACATGTGCTTACCTAGAATGGATAGTTAATGAACTAATGATAACCGCTAATAAAATTGAATATAAGGATGTACGTCTAGTAATGACTCCTACAGATGCAATAAATCCACAAGCCAGATAGCCTTGCATATTCCTTAGAGTCTTTTCTTTTCTTCTGATGGGTAAGTCTTGCGGAGTACAATTGAGTACTCAGGGTTTCATTTCCCCCCTGTTACAGGTGACAGGCGGATGCTAGAGCTGACTCTTGTGTGTGGATTCCTCCTGGTGGCTCAGAGGGGATTCCTTTACGCTGCAATCCTAGTTTTTATTTATAACTCTCACCAAAGGTTTTTATAAATAGAAATTTTATAATCTGTTGTCATAGCTTATATATCAATGCTTTATCATGCTATGAATAGATATTTATTTTTGATGTAACTCTGATCACATGTTTATATTCCGCTGTTAAATCAAATTGTTCATAACTCTGATGTTGTATTAAAAGTGATGTAAGAAATGGCTTAAGAATGTTGTAAACTTTATTCTCTCATTTGTGATCCTGATGAAAAAATATGGATTTTCGGATTCTCTCTTGCGGTGTGCTCGACGGAACTACGTAATTTAGTATCCTTCCTTAAGTACTTAGTGTCTAATGGAAAACAAGTACTTCTGGGAGACATTAGATTAGGCGGTTCTGCCACAGCTATGCATAAGTATATGTACAAGTCTAACTGTACCTTGCTAGCTATGATGCGCGGATACTTCTAGAGGGTAGTGTATCGTGTATCCGATACGTATCTGATATGGATACGCATCGAATACGTCTTGGATACGTATCTAGGCGTGTCTCAAAAATTAGATACGTATTGGCTCGGATACGGTTGGCGGCATGGGATACGGCCCAATACGTCAAACAGACCTCCAGGCCCGCTCGTTCCGTGTGACCTTCGATCCCCTCGCCGCAATCGGCACACTCACAGGCGCGCTGCCATGAGCTAGTACACCGGGACATCCCCTCTCTCATGCGCCTATCGGGATGACTGGATCCAGCGGCCGGTGGACGGCGAGATTCTGGCAGAATTCGACCGGCATGAAGCCTTGAATCTTCTGCTCCATTCTAATACTCTGATTTGGCTCCTTGATTTTCTCTGTATCATCCATCCCATCGCCGTCACGGGAGGTCGCCTGGTGCAGCATCTACAGCGCCACCACTAGCGTTGGAAGAATCGCGCACTTCAGATGCAAATACTGTGTGGTCATCCTCGTATCCTACTGTACAATTAAATCAACATTTGCTTCCTATTCATAACGTGGAATCAATGTGTGCCCCAATGTGACAGAAGCAGTTCTTCAACAACTTCAAAACAAAATTGCAGAGGCTGGAGAAGAAAATTGAGTCATAATTGAATTTTCTCGTGAGGTCTCTATGCTCCTTATTTCACCTTTTTAAATTAAATCGCTGCATTAGTTTGTTCTGTAATTAAAGTTGAACCCTAGATATCTATTTGTTGAACTCATGAAACTTACAATCGGTTTGTTATTTAGTTACTAAATATATTATTAAAGTATACCAGCTGTATCTCCGTGTCATTGCTTTTTCAAAAATGGTGTATCCGTGTATCCAATACGTATTGTATCTGTATCTGAGCTGCATAGCTTGCCAGGTACAAGGGTGGTTGGCAAGTACTCCAACCCCCAACTACTCTTATCTAATTCTAGTACACAGATATGTCATATTGCCATGCTGCTACAGTGTTAGATGTGACAGCAGGGCTGACTTTTGTGACATCCCCTACTGCTCGGGTCCAAAGGGAGCAGCAGATTATTTCTAACAATCTGGACTAGATATCTTTAAGGCCCACATATCAAGGTCAAAGCCATTGTTTGCAAGTTTTTCTATATATATTAAGAGACCATATACAAGGCGGGATAAATTGAGGGTCACGGATGCATTTTGCTTTACTAGTTTAAAGCAACTAGTGAGCTACCATGAGAAAGAAATGCAATAATGACCCATGCGAAGAATAATCTCAACACATAAAAGAAAAAACGGACTTTTCTAAAACGAAACCAAGTAAACACAAGATAAATCCTTGCAAACGTCTAAGCATTATTAGAACTAAAAGACACAGTACCCCTGACGAACTGAGATAAGTACAATCAGAGGTGCCGTGCAGTGCATGAGGATAAGTGGATAACAACTCGAAATAGCATTCACTTCGTCATCGGGCTTCTAGTATGGGATGGGATGGTCAGATGGACGCCTGTTGCACCCCTGAGCCATGAAACTAAATATATCTTGATCAAGTCTTCTTACCTGGAGCATGGGACTATTGGGATGGACGCCTGCTGCGTCCCTGATGTCATTCTCCAAAGCCTCCACCTCATCAGCAACAGCAGCAGAGCAGTCAACATCGACGTCGACATGTTTGAGGCCTGCCAAATTCTGCAGACCAAGGACCAGGCCACCTTCCCACTTGAACTGGCACCGTGCCATCAGGTGCAGTTTGAGCCATTCGAGCTTTGGCATGGCTCCTGGCTCAAACTCCAATGCCGCGTCACACCAATAACAGCGGATATGAAACTTGAGCAAACGCTGAAATCCTTGTGGGTTGATTGCGTTTCTTGGGTAGACGATGCCTGAATCTCCATCTTTGTCATTGAATAAGCCAACAGTAAGACAGAGCAGCATGGGTAAACTTGCTAGAATATTTATTCCTTCCTTGCCTACTTCACCACGGACAAAACTGCGGAGGCGGGTCAGGTTGACTAGTGAGCTGATTTGAGGGTCCATGCAATTTAAGTCACGTGTATCAATTTTAAGTAATTTCAGATTGATCAGGTCACCGAATCCTTGGATAAACTTTACAGATTGAATACCCAAATTGATCCTTGATAGCTCTTCCAACACCTGCAGACTTCTGATTACATCAGGTTGTTGCAATAAATGAACACAAAGCTCTATAGCTGTACTACGAAGTCTCGAACCTTTTTTTGTCTTCCCATTGGCTGTCTGCAGCGGGCCGGGTTGGCAGCAGCAGTGGTCGGTGGCTCTAGGAGACACGGATAAGTAAGAGCAGTTCCAAGTGCACAAGACCCTTCTTAACATTCAAGCACTTCTAGTTAGTCTCAACGGTTCATTAATGATCAAAGGGGAGGAACCACAGTTTGCCCTCAAGCACCGTAACACATGTCACTAATAATTAACAGAAGAGTCACTGATGTATTCTACTCAAGCTTAAAATAACGTTACACATGACACAAAAAATTTGGGAGTTACGTTACAAATACTGATCGATCTTAATTTGGAAACAAATACAATAATGAACCATGTGACGGATGAACTCAATGCATAAAAAAGAAGACTAGAATTTCTAAAATAAAATGAAGTATCGTACCAGACAAAACTACACAAGCAAACCTATCTAGGCATTGTCAGAACTAAAAGCCACATAGCAATTGGAACCACCAGTTTAAGCTCCCTGAAAGACTGAGATAGCTATCAACCAGCGGTGCCGCCTGCCATCCGATAGGTCGAATTTGCCTTGTTCAATTCCTAAATACTCCGTACGTACCTAAAAACAGAAAAACATATGATAATTGGTGGTCATACTTATTCTCCACATCATGTACTCACAATGGTCTTCATTAGGCTTCTACTATGGCATGGTCCGATGGACGCCTGCTGCACCCCTGAGCCATCCAATCTTGATGAATTCTTTGGATCTGGAGCATGGGACGGTTGGGATGGACGGCTGCTGCGCCCCTGATGTCATCCTCCAAAGCCTCCACCTCGTCTGCAACAGCAGCATAGCAGACAACCTCCACAGCCACATGTTTGAGGCCTAGTCCAAGATTCTGCAGCCCAAGGACGAGGCCACCTTCCCCAAACTTGAACTGGCACCGTGCCCTCAGTTCCAGCTTGAGCTTTTGGAGCTTTGGCATGGCTCCCGGCTCAAACTCCAATGCCGCCTCGCGCCAACAGCGCAAATTAAACTTGAGCAAACGCTGGAACCCTTGTCTGCTGATTGCATGCCTTGTGAAGAGGATGCCTAAATCTCCATCTTGGTCATTGGATAAGGTAACAGTAAGAGAGAGCAGCATGGGTAAACTTGCTAGGATATTTATTCCTTCCTTGCCTGCTTCACCATGGACAAAAATGCGGAGGCGGGTCAGGTTGACTAGTGAGCTAATTTGAGGGCCCACCCTATATAGGTTATGTGTATCAAGAAGAAGCATTTGAAGCGGTGGTGGAGTAGGGACACACGAAGACATGAATGAACATGTGGCATCAGGTTCACTCCCCCACATGCGTAGTTCTCGCAGGTGCCCGAACAGCCTGGAGAGCGTAGAGATACATGCTTCCTTGTGATCCTTCCTAAAGTACTGCCAATCAATTTCAAGTATTCTCAGATTGGTCAGATCACTGAGTCCTTGGATAAACTTTACAGATTGAATACCAAAATCGATTGTTGATAGCTCTTCCAACGCCTGCAGACTTCCAATTCCATCAGGTAGGTGCACCGACGGATGGACATGAAGACGCACTAGCTTCTGCAACTGGATAATACTTGTTGGTAGCTTTTCAAGACATTGCCATCTCAAATCTAGTGTCTCCAGATGTTGCAGCTTTTCTATATCTTCTGGAAGCTTGCTGGCCGAAAATTTGTTCTTTATCCTCAAGAACTTCAACTGACCTAAACTTTTGACATTTCCAAGAGAGCATTCACCAACCACACCATCTATATTAAGCACTCGCAAGACTTGGCTGTTTAAGAACTCTGTGGCATGCTTATTAACCAGAACTAAATTTGAGCCAAAGATATTGATGGATCGGATCTGAGCTCCATTTTTTTTTGTCTTGGCAATCTCTTCTGCCCGGGAAGAAATGTCTTTTTGGATGGATAGACGGCGAATCTTGTTTGAAGAAGAATTTTTAGAAAAGCCATTACCATTCCATATAGTAACAAAGTTATCCTCCACGGCCTTTGATACAATGAACTCAAGTATGACATCATGAACTCTGCACTGTTTCACTGTTGCGCCGTGTCCCCCAACCTTGGTTGGCTGCACCAAACTTCTATTGATGAGCTCATTCAAGTAACTTCTCCCTAGCTGCTCCATACTTTCCCTGTCATGTCCAGGAATCAGTCCTTCGGCTACCCATAGCATTATCAATTGTCGGCAATCTATGGGATAATCCTCTGGAAACACACTAAGATATAACAAACAGCTCTTTAGATTGTGAGGAAGGTCAACGTAACTCAGCAGCAGAATTCTTTTCATCTTATCAATGGGAGAATCTTTGTCAACTGCAGCAGCAATAGATCTCAATACATTGACCCAGACTTCCACTGCTTTGCTTCTGTTTGCTAATAAACCAGCTATACTGATTATGGCTAGTGGTAAGCCGCAACATTTCTTTAAAATATCATCGGATACTTTCCTCAAATCTGGGTGGCAATCATCACCAGACAAAAATAGCCTCTTAAAGAATAATCTTTGGGAGTCATCATGAGTAAGGGGCTTTGCTTGATACATTTGTGCAGCAATACCAGTACAACAAGATTTGGCTACTGCTTCAATGCGTGTTGTAGTAATAATTCTGCTTCCATTATCATTGACAGGTAAGGCAGATCGTAGAAGCTCCCATGCTGATACACTCCAGATATCATCAATCAAGATGAAGTACCTGCATACATTGGTTGTGGAGTCACATTATTAATTATGTAAGGCAAACCATGAATTGAAGCGTATTCCAGTGAAGTTAAAGATGTCGGAGAAGTGTAAGATGGATCGTAGTGGCACACTTTTTTATCAGTAATTATTACACATGAGAAATACAGTCTGTAAACTACCATTATTTAAAAAATATGTTACAACCTCCAAAATGGTAAGTGCCGCATTAGAACACCTAGAGACCCACTCAAAAGACATGATGCATTCAGTTCAAAAGCTGAGTTCCAAAATGAGATATTTATGGATATTTAGAATTCTGGTCATATTTTCCAAGAACTAATTTTACTGAGTATGGATTAGATGGTGTAAAGTAAAAAATTTACCAAAATGATGCACAGTTGACTTGAGTTTGTTCATTGTTGCAACATCTTTAATGATGACATTTGATAGATATGCTGAGCCATTGAAGTATCTGAGGTAATTTTATGCTGTCAAGTTCATTAGGCCAGGAAAAAATGAATCATTTTTTAAAATTCCCATAAAATTTCATAAATGGCCTAATAATTAGGTGAGCTCATGTGATGAACAAATATTGCACGACATTATTCTAGCTAGATGAACTGGTTAACTATTAGAAAAAGAAATAATATTGATTACCTCTTGTCCTTTAAGCATTCTTTCGCTGTGCGGATGAGCTGCTCAACTGTCTCTAACATCTGTGACTGGTCAAAATGGCTCTTGCTTATTTGAGACAATATATCTCTAAGAAGTTTCTTCATATCTGGAGTTTGTGATACAAACACAAAAGCCCGGCTATCAAAAGCAGCTTCAGTTATTTTGTGGTACACCTCCATGGCGAGAGTGGTCTTCCCCTGTCCACCTATCCCATAGATGGACACCACCTTGTGCTCCTTGTCTTCACATCTCAATAAGCTGATGATCTCCTCACGAGGAGCATCAATTCCAACAAGATCCCTAGCCTCCTGAAAGAGTGCAGGTGCTCGAGGATCCAAGAGCACTGGCTGAGATGAAGAGGCGAGGAGACACTGATTGATGTCGTAGTAGCGTTTCCCCCGCTCGCTCTGCTCGCTCACGAGCCTCTTGAGTCGTCGGATCTCCTCTGCTATTCCTCTGTCCTTGAACAATGTTTTCACCATTTGAATGGCCTTGTGCACGAAGTTGGCCGTGGAACCTCCATCTCCATGGCTGTGATTGAGCACAAAACGGTCGATGCAATCCTCAATATCGTAGGACAGCTCACGCACATTGCTCCTCCAGTCTTTAGCGAGTGGATCGATCTGGTCGTCGTCCTTGTCTTCGAGCCTCAGCAGCATGGCTTCCATGGTGCGCAGCTCGTCTTGCAGGGACCGGATCCCTTGCTTGACGTCTCTGGCAAGGTTGTACTTGTCGGTGAGCATGTCGGCCAGCTTGTCGATGACGGAGCCCAACACACCCGTGGCGGCGCTCGAGATCATTTCGGCCATCTTGACTCGCGACTACTGGCTGAGTGAAATGCTAGCTAGCTTGTGCGGTGGTATGAGAGAGGATAGGTGATTCAGTTCTCAGGTTAAAGTGGGGCAAACAACAATGCATCCCATTCGTTAAATATATAATTCTCCTCTAGATTCGCGAGAACCACTCCAAGGCACGTTGTCGCTGACAGTCCACACGACGGCTTCAGTTCTCGAGAAGATTAATTTAAAGAATGCTTTTGAATTTGTGAAAGGGAGCCCGTTTTTTGGCCGATCTCAGTGATATGTTTCGTTACACTGTTTCAAAAAATGTTGCATCCCTTTATAAGTTTTGGTGGACCAAGAAAATAGCCACCCTCAATGCATATATAGATTCATGTCACTAGCTTTATAAACTAGTCTCTCAATAATAAATAGCTACCTACTATTGTAATCAAATATGCCACATAAATAATTTTGGTATTTTGGTATGGTGTGTAACTACGCATCCCATTAGTTAAATATATAATGGGATTCGATTCAATTTCTATGGCTAAGCACTGGGAACGACACGAAGTTTCCTTCCACTTTCCTCCATAACCACTTTCTTCCACCAATTCTCTCTCCCTCTCTCAGTTTTTCTATTTCGGCCAGGCCATCTCAATCTACAAGCCATGTGACGATAAGTGCTGCTGTGCTGCCCGATGGTGACCGGCGCACAACTTGCGATGTCACTCGCTCGATGTAGATTGCTGGCTACCATGCGCGGTGGTGTCGGAGATGGTGGCACAAATAATGGGATTCGATTCTATTTCTACGGCTAAGCACCGGGAACGACACGAAGTTTCCTTCCACTTTCCTCCGTAACCACTTTCTTCCACCAACTCTCTCTCTCTCTCTCTCTCTCTCTCTCTCTCTCTCTCTCTCACAGTTTTTCTATTTCGGCCATGCCATCTCAATCCGCAATCCACCAACTTGCGATGTCACGCCAGGAAGTAAAAACAATATTCAACTGGTTGAAAACCAAGCAAACCCCGATATCATAGGATAGCTCACGATATCCATGGTGCTCAGCTCGTCTCGCAGGAAGCAGATCCCGCTCTCGACTTTTTTGGCGAGCTGGTACTTCTCGGTGAGCATGGCGGCCAGCTTGCCAATGATGGAGCCCAACACGCTCGTGGTGGCGTTCGCCATCACTTCGGCCTTAAGGACTCGTAGAGGCAGAGCACTCGCTCTCAGTGAAATGCTAGCTACCTTGTGTGGGGTGATGTGGTGGTGGAATGCAAGCAACGCGGGTTGGCCGTGCCTCACTCTCAAGTCAAGTCAATGTGTCCCCGTGTTGTCGTCCAAATAATTGTCGACCGCCGAGATCCAGCAGCAGGGAGCCCAGAACGGAGACTCTGGACGCACGTGATAGCCTCTGCCAGACCGCCCAGGCGCAAGTTACTGTATGTACACTACACTTGTCCTGTAAAATTCGACTGCTGGTTTTGAACAGTGCTTTCTGCTGCCACTGCTTCGGGCTCTCACAAAAGCGCTGTGCCAACAGCCAGCAGCATCGGCAGCCGAACACTCTGAATTTGTTGTTTTGAGTAATGTGAGGGAGGAATGTTGCATCAATTCGTAGCTCATGGTGGCGCAAATAGTGGGATTCCTTTTCCACGAAGTCTCCTACACTTTATTTTTTCTTTATTTATTCCTAAAGACATGATGTCCACTTTCCCTGTCTCATTCTCACCTTTTTGCGATAGATCAATTTTTCTTTGTCGGCCATCTGGACTTGAAAGCGAAATTCTAGTTGCACTACAAACACAAAGTGTGGTGCCCTTGTCCGAGGTTACCAGCCTTCGTGATTGTTTTTATTTTTACTGGCCCAGAGCGTGAATGAAGATAAACACCGTATATGAATTCAAAGTACTTATCAGAGACGGGTAGTGTCTTAGGAGTCATCGCTATTTGTTACATATCAGAGACGGTTTCTTGTTTTCAACCGTCTCTTTTATGTACTTATCTGAGACGATTGTGCACCCATCACTAGTACTGTCCACAGCACAGCTTTGTTTCCCATCACTAAGTGACATCGTGAGCCATAGCTTCTCTGTCCTAGTGCGTGGCTGCACTCGCGACCATTTCAGCCATCTCAACTCGAAAGCACTCGCTCTATGTGGGTTGCTAGCTAGCTAGCATGCGCGGTGGTGTGGAGATGCCACCGAGGATATATGGTGGCACAAATCATTGGGATTCTATTTCTGCGCGTGAGCACTGGGAACGACACGAAGTTTCCTTCCACTTTCGTCCGTAACCACTTTCCTTTCACCAACTCTCCCTCCGTTTTTCTATTTCGGCTGGGCCACCTTTGTCCGTGTGACGAGTGGTGGTGGCCGGCGGGCAACTTGGCCATGCGATGTCACGCCAGGAAGTAAAAACAATTTCAACTGGTTGAAGACTAATAATAAGTAAAGCACGAACCGAGCTCTCGAGTCCTGAGTCCTGGCCATGCCCCGTCGTCGTCTAGTTCTAGTAGTAATTAACTATCTGGTCCCTTCATTCTCACTAACACGCAAACCAAAGTTGTGCTTGTCTGCGTATGGGAGAAGACACACAACACTACAACACAGATGAGCCATAGCCGGCCAATCTGGGTAGGATGGCCTGTGCGAACGACTTCTTAATAGAATTTGAGCATAACATACGGCATGATTGATTATATTTGGATAATTCTAACTCAGATTATAAACAGGACTATTATAATCTATTTATGGGTTATTATAATCTAGGACGTTTAGATTTAATTCAGATTATAAAAGTAGATGGAGAAATCAATAGATTTAAGCCAAAAAATTGGTGGATGATCGCTATAGAGAGTTTATGCAGATAGATGCACTGAAAGCGCATGGACATAGGACAAGTATAATCCAATAAATCAACAATACTACTTGTGAAATTGTTTTCAAATACAAAACACCAAATGTTATAGTGAGAAACTAGCTACTTGCGCAGGGTTAGCAACTCCAAAAGACTCTTTATTATATCATTTCCAATTTATAGAAATAGAGATTTTAGTGAAAAAATACCCTCTAACAATCTCTTTAATTGAACATGCAAATATAGAAATCCATTATTCTGGATTTCTCGCTAGCCAAAGATCGGGAGCATGGATGGCTCTCTGGAGTACGCACAAGATATAGAAAAGGTATTGGAGGGTACAAAGATATAGAAAGCAATTTTACTCAAATGACGATTTAGAGAGTAAATTTTAGAAACTCTTGGAGATGCTCTAAGGGTGAAAATCAGATGGTTATTTCCTGATATCCATGTCTTTGAAGGGTTTAGATACTAAATGGATAATTCATATATCTTATATTCATGCCATATTTGAATCTAAATACTCAGAGTTAGATATTTGATACACATGTAGGGTGAAAATCAATATTCGATACATTTGACACTATCCTTATCATTTTGAATTTAATATAAAAAAAAATAAATACAAGTACTCATATCCATTTGTATTCTATCAGTTTTCATCCAACCTTTATACTTTACTTTGATCTTCTTGTTTTATAAATGTACATGTGAGCGACAGTCTAATTTTCAACCTGGACTACGAAACCGAATAAATCCGGTCATCTGACCGGTTTCGAAGATGGTTTTCTATTTTTTAAAAATAAAAATATAGTTTAATCTCAAAAAAACAATTTATTTAAATCAGAAAAATATGAAACTAGTACCGGTTTTCCTGTAAAATGGTTATCTATCTATTGGTGCTCTTTGTGGTGATATTTGTATGTTATTTGTTTTAAATAAGTAATGAGCATGACCACCAGCAATAAAGGAATAGAAAGAGAAATAATTCTTCAAATAAATCTGAATAGATCGCAAACACATATAAAGTATTTTTTTTAAATGCTGCTACTTCCACATTTGTTTGAATTAAAAGAAATTAGTTATGAATTTTTAGGTATTAAACTAGTTGTTGTTATTATTATTATTATTATTATTATTATTATTATTATTATTATTATTATTATTATTATTATTATTATTATTATTATTACAGAATAGAAAACCACATTTGAAGCTAGCAAGAGTGCTAAAACCATGCGCCTCCGTCCCTTTTCTGATTTGTTCCACCTCAATCGTGAATGATTCCTTCTATCTACCCTCTCCTATCCACCAATCCCATCCCCATCCCTCCCCTCGACCCCGAACCCATCCCTATGGTGGCAGCTGATGTGACCAATAGGAAGCAGAGATGCTTGGCTACTACAAAAGGAATTTTCAGATGATGTATTTTTATATATTTATAGAGGCTTGCGGCCGACTGTCTTTGTCAAATGATATCTTTGAATTTAGAGAAACAACTTCATGGAGAATTGAGACATGTTCTTGCTTTGGCTTTTGTATGTCATGCATCAAATGAGGTCATTTATGTTTAGAAAGGTAGTGTCATGACATGTTTTTTGTTGCTTTATACAACAATTACCAAATGTATTTCAGTGTACTCCATTATGCACCTTTTCTCATTTTTGGCATGATGGTCTTGTCACTTTCATAACTCTTCCACTTTTGATATGTTTGATACATCATAAATTGATGTTTTACTATGGGTCTTGAGCCGACAAATCCACTTAAGGTTATTAACATGGTCTAACAGAATAGGAATTGAATAGTTTCCATCTTAGTGTCTATCATGTTTGATAAGTGCTTGTCTCTAATGCCCTTTCTGTTTACAAGGCAGTCAAAGATATCTAATCAACAAAGATGATGGTCACATTGTTTTTCCTCTACCATTTTCAGCCAGCTGTTTATGTGTATATGTAATATATTGGTGTGACCAATGGTTTTAGTGTATTCAATGGTTTGTTTAAACAGAAGCATAAGGCTATAGTGGCCATCCAAACCTTGCTATCAGTAATATTAGGACACTGATGATATGTGGTTGTCTCATAATTTGTAATATGTATTTGTTTGTGTGATATGCCACATGTTAGATGCTTGCACCGTGGTGATGCTGGAAGTGACTGCATATT